AAAAACAAAAAAAAACTTCAGTTCAATAACTTTATGTAATACATTTTTTTTCAAATTTTGGGCCCCAAATTAAGGTGCATCTTATACATGGGGAAATACGGTAGGTATTAACTTTCACTTAAAAAAATCTTTAATTAGACACATTCAAATTAGAAAGCAAAGAGAAATACTGATTTACCTATGGATTTTTTTACACTAAGAAGATAATCTTCTCTCATTTCCTCAGATAATGCATGTATGCTGTTAGTCAGGACTCTCAGGTGTTGGGGGATTAAATTTAATACATGTTCTAGCCAAGAATCTTCCATTGGGGCTATGTGGTCCGTATCAATTCCATGGTGAATATAATAGTAGTATCGCTATATAAAGGAGACCAAGAAATGTAGATGGGTTTAGAACTATAATAAAAGAAATGTGTTTATCAAACATAAAACCACTGAGCAACATTACCATTTTAGGAGAACAAAGTATTTACAAGTCATAAAAAAGTATGTTGTATTCATGTAGGTATTATTTGAGATCTCCTATATTAAAAAAATATATACATGATATTTCATGAAAATTAAAGCTCTTACCTTAGTTCATAATATCACTGTAAATCATCAAGTTATATTACCAAATATATCATGTACTGAACAAAGCCCATGCAAAGTAGAGTTTAGTGTTTTATAAATGGGTAAAAATTTGGTATGTTAATTTTTGCTCTTTAATTATTGATAATCAGAAGTAGATCTTAAGAGCTGCATGTGAATCGGTATCTCTATATATTAGTCTCAGAAATATTATATAACAGGATTTTGGAAATTTCCAATTGACCTGTTAATATTCCATGCTAAAATTTTGCAGCTGCTATTACACATGTGCATAAAATATTCATTTTAAGACATGACAGTATTTCTTTAATAATGGATATTTAACTTCAATATATTTTCTGAAGTTTTCATATGTCACTTATTAGAAAAATATTTAAATATCAAAATACTTTCAAATGAGCAATGTAAAAGTCTTCAATGTTTTTAATTTTTAAAATTCTGTATTTGAAATACTCAAAGAATTTCAATTTCTAAAGTTAAATTAATATTCTTTGTAAAGTGTACATTACATAATTAATTTCTCATAGAAGAATAAAGGCATGTAAAAGCTATACAGGACTGAGGCTAGCTTTACCAAAGGGAGCAAGTAAATTTAGGATTCTTTGATTGTTGTCTGAGGTGGCAAAGAAAGAATGGTTTCCTCCATTAATCCAACAGAGAAATCTTATGGAACTCCTTATTTACTCCTATGTCCACAGAATTTCACAAGGGAGGAACACAGAATAATCTCAAAAGTATTAAAGTATCTTCAAGTACTTCCTTTACTTCCGATTATACAGATGAAAGAAATAGCCCATTACCAAGATGTCTTTCTCTATTGCAGAAGAGGTCAGTTTTGAAAATGTGCTTTCATCAGGAGTAGTTGAGTCTGAGACAGCATCTTGTTGCCTAAAAAAATGACAAACACACTATTTAAATGTATATAAAAGGCAGTTAGCATTATATCAATAGACATAAAAAAATAAGGATTGTCTTCTATTAAATCATGAGAAAAAAACGAATTGTTGAGCATTTTAAAAATAGAATACATATTTGTTTGGTACCATATTCCTCCCAGAATACTTTCTCTTTATTTAAAAAGAGACAGTTATATTGGAAATGTTTTGCAAAACCTAATTCGGAGGCCACATCCTTCTTTATGGGCTTTACTCACTGTTTCTCTTTACTTAAAAATCAAGTTCTCTTCTCTGAAATGTTATATGAGTGTTCTTGCATTATTCCTAAACTATGTATGGTTATTTATAAATTTGGGGTTTAAAAGAGCACTGAAGGAAAAGACTTGAAATGTAGTATTGCAGAAGACACAGATACATTTTTTTAATTAAAGTTTATTGGGGTGACAATGGTAGTAAAGTTACATAGGTTTCAGGTGTACAATTCTGTAATACATCATCTATATATCACATTGTGTGTTCACCACCTAGAATCAGTTCTCCTTCCATCACTATATATTTGATCCCGTTTACCCTCATCTACCATCCCCCTCCCCCTTACCCTCTGGTAACCACTAAACTATTGTCTGTGTGTATGAATGTTTGTTTCTTCATTTGTTTGTCTTTTTCCTTTGTTGTTTTCAGTTTTATATACCACATATCAGTGGAGTCATATGGTTTTTTACTTTTTCTGTCTGACTTATTTCACTTAGCATAATAATCTCAAGATCCATCCATGTTGTCGCAAATGGCACTATTTCATCTTTTCTTATGGCAGAATAGTATTCCATTGTGTATATATACCACATCTTCTTTACCCAATAATCTATCGAAGGACACTTTGGTTATTTCCATGTCTTGGTCACCATAAATAAAGCTGTGATGAACATCAGAATAAATAATATCTTTACAGATAAATGTTTTCAGATTTTTTTGGTAGATACCCAGGAGAGGGATTCTGGGTCATGTGGTAATTCTATTCTTAATATTTGGAGGGACTTCCACATTGCCTTCCATAGATGCTGCACCAATCTGCATTCCAATCAACAGTGTATGAGGGTTCCTTTTTCCCCACAGCCTCTCCAACACTTATTATTTGTCTTTTGATGATAGCCATTCTAATTGCTGTGAAGTGATATCTCATTGTGGTTGTTATTTGCATTTCTCTGATGATTACTGATGTTGAGCATCTTTTCATATGTCTATTGGCCACGTGTATGTCCTCTTTGGAGAAATGTCTATTCAGGTCCTCTGCCCATTTCTTAATTGGATTGTTTGCTTTTTTGTTGCTGAGTTGTATCAGTTCTGTATACATTTTGGATATTAGCCCCTTATCAGAGACGTTGTTTGCAAAAATCTTCTCCCATTCAGTTGGTTGCCTTTTAATTTTGTCGATGGTTTCTTTTGCTGTGCAGAAGCTTTTTAGTTTGATATAATCCCATTCATTTATTTTAGCTTTTACTTCCCTGGCCTTTGATAATTCATAAAATCCTCTTTGAACCCAAGGTCCATAAGTTTAGTACATATGTTTTCTTCTATGCAGATACATTTTTGAAAGACCATTTCTCTGATTTCCAGAGACATGAAGTACAAGTTAACAATGAGTGATATAGAAACTCATGTACTCCTTTGTATTTATTACTGGCTATGTTCACATAATACTATAATGTTTATAGCTACAATTCAATTCAAAATCTATACCAAACATGAGCCACATTTTGAGACTTCTTCTGGGGCTCCATTTGTGTGGAAAGGCATAGTTTACAACTCCAGGAAAAATAACAAGTTGTTCTGGGAGAGCTTTAACCTCTTTATCATTGAATGCATTATGCTCTGGATCCCAGCTTCATCTGGAATGGATACAGGTCAGTGATGCTATATAATAAAATATTCCCTCCCGCTAACTGTTATATATACCTTCATAAAGTTGGGTAAAAANATCTATCCATCAATTTGTAAATGTAACATGTTTGGGCTTAAATATGTAAATAAAGATAGTAGGAACAACCAGTTATATATATGGGATACATAAATTCTAAACACATATGAGAAAATAATACCAGTGTATAAATATATACAGATACACAGAAATGGTCACATAATCAATATTCTTAGGGAAACTTGATCACTTACTCAGCACGATGGGGTAGAAGTTCATCTGCCTTTCGATCAGTTTCTTTTTCTCTAGGATCTTTCAAAACAAAATCAACTACAGGAAAATTGAAAAGTTCTGATCAATAGCTTTCTATAATATTCAATAAAGTGACCTACTTCTGCTTCTGTCTTCTGTGATCTTTAATTAACAGCTAATTCTAATTTTCCTGCCTGTCTTTCAAGATGTGCTTTCCAAAATGCAAATACGTTATTACCCCTCTGCTTTTTAAAATCCTTCAGTGACTCTCCTTTACCTTCCAATGCTTTAAAAAGGCATATACAGCCCTTCCTATTCTGTCCCCTTCCCAAAATGCACCCAATGCTTCAGCCATCAGAACTACTCCCAAGCCTGGAAGAGCCTTTGATGAAAGTTGGCCATTGTTCACACTATCTTCTAGGCCAAGCATGTTCCCTAGTACACTGTTCATCATCCTTCAAGACACAATTCAGGCGCCCCCAGAGTCCTCCCTAACAAGGCAAACACGACCCCTTCTCCCTTAGAGCATGTCCTCGCTTACTACTCTGCTTTGTAATTTAGTGATTTGTCCATCTCCCTTATTACACTCTGAAAATTTGGGGAACAAAGATTTAGCTCTTTATTTTTATATTACCAAATATTTATAACTCAGTAAAAGTCATAAATGCAATGAATGTCTTCCTCCCTCAGGGTGCCCAGACCATCCCAAAGCATTATCATTTCTCCAAATTTGAGCATAGTATCACTTATATATAGTATCACAATTATATCATACCCAATTGGAGGTCCTTTTTTAAAAGTATAGCTTGGAAGGTCCTGCCTCCAGAGAGTTTAATTCAAATGGATTCAAAAATCAGTACTTTAAAAGTAATTCTAGGGCTGGCCGAGTGGCTCAGTTGGTTAAGAGCTCACTCAAAAGTTTGAGCTCTGAGCAACAGCGGTTCAATTCCTGGCCCGAGCTGAGCAGCCGCTGAGCTACCAACAGGTAGAAGGATGGCTCAGCTTAAAAAAAAAAAAAAAAGTAATTATGATGATTAGTCAGTCTTAGAATCTATTTTTATAAATCAGCAAACTTCTTATGTAAAGGGCCCAATTGTAAATATTTTCAACTTTGTGAGCCACAAGGTCTTTATCACAATTATTCAACTCCGCTCTTACAGGTGAAAAGCAGCCATAGATAATATGCAAATGAATGTGTGTAGTTGTGTTCCAATGAAACTGTTTTTTACAAAAACAGGCCGTGGTCCAGATTGAGGCTGTGAGTTGCAGTTTGCCAGGCCCTAGTCCATAGCAACGATTTTGTAACTAATCACATTCTACATTATGATATCAGTAATATGAATGTTAATTAAATATTAATGTTAATTAAATAATTAATTAACATTTTATAATCTTTAGTTCTGTATTTTGTTGAGGGGATATATGACTACAAATAGAAAGACTGTGTTTTGTTTTCGCTTTTGCTGTAGTTTATTAATAAAACTTGCCTAAGATCTTAAATAATGTAACAGCAATACAAGAAAGAGCATAATCGATATAATAGTTATAAGTACTCATATACTGCATTTCCCCATGTATAAGGCACCCTTTTTCGAAAAATTTGGGGTCTAAAAACTGGGTGCGTATTATACAGTGGTTGTAGTTTTTTTGACAGTGAGGAGTTG